GCACCATCTACAATACATAGTTGGTACTCAATAAATATTTGCAGAATTCACTGATTAAGTAACTCAAGGCCTGGCATACTGAGTCTTGATCCAGAGATTTTTCACCTATAAGATGAAGAGGTTAGGTCATCTTTGAAGTTCTTTCCAACTCAAGAAATTAATACTTTTTATTCATACAATTTTTTTAAATTGACTTTATTTTTTAAAATTAAAATCTATCTATTAAATATCTATCTATCTGTCTACCTATTTATGTATCTATAAATTTACCTGGAGATAGGGTCTTACTCATTTGCCCAGGCTAGAGTGCAAATGATCAAATGATCCTCCTATCTCGGCCTCCCAAGTGGCTGCGACTACAGGGGCACACCACCATGCCGGCCTATTTTTATTTTTTGTTTTTAGTATAGACTAAGTCTTGCTATGTGGCCCAAGCTGGATTTGAACGTCAGGGCTCATGCAATCCTCCCATGTCATCCTCCTGAGTAGCTGGGATTGCAGGTATTTGCCACCATGCCTGGCATAGCTCAGTTTTTATTTTTATTTTTGAGACAGTGTCTTGCTTTGTTGCCCAGACTGGAGTGCAGTGGCACAATCTCGGCTCACTGCAATCTCTGCCTCCTGAGTTGAAGCAATTCTCCTGCCTTAGCCTCCTGAGTGCCTGGGACTACAGGCACCCACCACAATACCTGGCTACATTTTGTGTTTTTAGTAGAGACGGGATTTCACCATGTCGGTCAAACTGGTCTCAAACTCCTGGCCTCCAGTGATTCACCCCCCTAGGCCTCCTAAAATGCTGGGATTAGAGGTGTGAACCACTGTACCTGGCCTCAGTTTTTAAATATTAAAGTTGAACATGGAAAAAATAGCTGTCAGTAACAAGAAATGTGGGAATAAATTGATATTTTACATATAACTTTCATGTTGTAAAGAGAATCTTCCATAGTGATTTTCAAATACATAGAGTGTAGGTAGAGATTAGGAAGAGGAATGATGATGGAACTTAAACTCATGAAAAATAGGTGTTCCTTTTGACTATGTTTATACCCAAGTATCTGGGATAAAAGTAATATCATTTTTTTTTTTTAATTTCTCCTGTTTCACTGAGAAGATCAGAGCAAGGTGAAAGGTGAGGGGAAGCCCTCTCCTGAGTGGCACCAATGTACTAACATTTTCATAAAAATATAGCATAGGCTCTGGAGCTGCCCTGCCCAGGATTGAAGCCCATCTCTGTCTCTTAATACTTGTGAAAGCTTAAGGAAGTTATGTAACTTCCTGTGCTTTGGTTCTCACCTCTGTGAAGTGGGAGCATTAACAGCATCGACCTCACTAGATTGTTTCAAGGACTAAATGAGATAACATTTTTAAACAGCTGAGTACAGTATCTGTCATATCATAGCACTCAATAAATAATAAACTCATTATTCCCATTGTTAAGAATAATAAGGGAAATATCAGTAGATGTCAAACCCAAGAATGACAAGTACTGGTTGGTGAGCAGGTTGGGGTGAGGAGTGAGATGGGAGGCCTGGAAGAGTTCAGGACCTTTCTGACACATAAATGAAGCTACAGTTCTAATTAGCATAGTGTTGACATTGGGCAAGATGAGCGTGCATACTTAAAGAGTAGCCTCTGGCTGGACGTAAATTATAATGTAAGGAAACAGTTGTAAAAAAAAAATACTAAAAGTGCCAATAAATTACCAATGCCATTGAAATGTAATTTCCTGTTTCTTGAATGTATGAATGTAGGATTTATACCAAATTTCTGTATTTAGGCAGCTAAAGTACATAGGGCCTGAATCAAAGAGTTGCATAAAGTCATTCATGTTGAGTAGACACATCACATTCTGAAACTTTTTAATCGCTGAAATGAAGTGTTTGTTATGAAGCTTCAAGAATAATCTAATCAGAATGAAGTACAGCTTCATTAATTTGTACTTCACTAGTTGAGAATCTGAGAATATTCAGACGGAAACTGAGATTTTGCCCTATCTGTGGAAAAATAAAAGCATTGCCAAGAACATCAGCATTATAGACAAGATTGTATCAGGAGAGTATAAAGAACTTAGAAGAATAAATACTGTTGATGTCCTCTTTTAGGTATAGTTTGTATGCTAATATAGTTAGTCCATGATACAACATAATTCTTTAGTGATTTGAACTAATAAATTAAGTCAATAATATTTATTTGTGCAGTCTCAATGTGACAGGCTTTATTTCAGATACTGGGATTCAATAACGGAATAAGACAGACCTGGTCTTCCTGGAGCTTATGTTCTAGCAAGAAGATAAATAATGGTTTACATTGTCAGGATGACGTTGTGATTTGAGAAGTACAAGGTGCTTTGGGAGTATTACAGGAATACCCATTCTAGTCTAAGGTATCAGGAAAGGTCTTCTGGAGAAAAGCAGAAGCTGAGACTTGAAGACTTGTAGAAGTTATCTAGGAAAAGAGGGCTGGGGAATACTGTCCTTAGAGTAAATGATCTGTGAGAAGACTTGGATACCTTACTTGGCTGATTATCTTTCTGATTAATATAACAGGTCTATTAAGGGTTTCTATGCACTCTTAGCCAATCTAATTTGCATTTTTCTCTATACTTGAAAGTAGTGTAATTGGTTTTTTTTTTCTTAAAATCATTCTGTGGTTCCAAATCTTCACAAATGTATACAAAGTATTGTTTTATTTTAAAAATGTTTTCAGTTCTAAACTTGACATACTCAGTAAGCAGCTCTTGCTACCTTTTTCTCTTCTGACTGGTCACAACCCTTTACAATTTTCATCTTTTTCTATAGAATATTTGGTATAATATGAAGCCACTGTAATTTATGAGTGGTATTTAGCAAAATCTTTAACGTAAGGACAATAAAATGGCATTTTCTCTACTCGGGAGGCTGAGGAGGAGGATCCCTTGAGTCCAGAAGTTAGAGGTTATTATTTATTTATTTATTTTTGAGGCAGAGTTTCACTCTGTTGCCCAGGCTGGAGTGCAGTGGTGTGATCTTGGCTTACTCCAAACTCTGCCTCCCAGGTTCAAGCGATTCTCCTGCCTCAGCCTCCCAAGTAATTGGGATTACAGGCATGCACCACCATGCCCAGCTAATTTTTGTATTTTTAGTAGAGACAGGATTTCACCATGTTGGCCAGACTTGTCTCAAACGCCTGATCTCAAGTGATCTGCCCGCTTGGGCCTCCCAAAGTGCTGGGATGAGCATGCCCAGCCTACAATGCGTTCTTATTATGCCACAGCCCTCCAGCCTCGGTGACAGAGGGAGATCCTTTCTCTAAAAATAATAAAATAGTACCCTGAACTCCAACATCTTCCGTGTCATTTTCTGTGTTCATAGGGTGTTGTATGAGGGGAGCAATAACCCCTCTTGTATTAGGTGGCATCCTAGATTTCTTGCTACTTACAACAGTGTAGTTTCTTATAGTGAGAATGATATATCCTTTGTTCAATTTGATTAAAATCTGACATTTGGGGCTCTATTCTTTCCCATTATTCTCTATTTAATGGTCCTAACTTCAGAGCATGGGTGGAAAAACTATGTGGTAGGGTGAATGTAGAAGATAGGAGGCTTCCCTTCTCTTAAATTTTTGGATGCCCCTGTTGTGTTTGCTAATTATGGTAGAATTTGAGTTTACAATGAGAGCCATGAAATACATTTTTATAGCAAAAGGAGGCCTCAGGAGGTCCTTTGGTGAGACCTTAGAAATTGTGGTTGCCTACTTGATGTCTCTAGCTTTTACCTGGTATCTCCTTTACAAATGCTAGGTGATTTCGTTAGAACTCTTTTGGTTGCAAATAATGAAAGCCTTCTTGGAGCTAACTGAAGCCTCAATACTGACTTGAAGTCATGACCACTATATCCTCAAGTTTATTATTATTATTATTATTATTATTATTATTTTTATTACTTTGACAGGGCCTGTGTTGCTCAGGCTGGTTTCCAATTCTTAGCCTCAAGTGATCCTCCTGCCTCAGCTTCCCTGCTAGCTGGGATTATAGGTGTGAGCTGCCATGTCCAGCTTATTTTCCCAAATTCTTAACAGCTAGGCTAAGACTTTCCCCATCTAGTTTAGATTCAATCTAGGCCAGAGATTAGTTCATTGGTCCAGAAGTAGGTACCTGATACTAAAAGGGCCAATCAGAGTACCTCCAGTGGAATATAGAGTTAGGATTCAATGATTTCAGCCTCTGTCTGTCTGGTCTGTGGAATAGAGGAGATAAAACCCAGGGATGTGTGACCAGTTGAGTCCCACCATGCAGCCTGAAAAGCATAAAATTCCCATCTGTGATAAAAGAGAATAATGATGTAGATTTCCTGGTACTGTGCAGAAACAAGATAGAGATAATCCTGCCAGCACTCTTGTCCCTGATTCCAGACCATTCTTGAGCCTTGACTGTATTCCTGTCTTTGCATTCTTGTTCACAAAAAGGGAATAAACCAGAGATACTGCATTTTGTCAAGGCACATGATTAATTTTAACAGCTTTATTGAGGTATCACTGACATGCAGTAAACAGAATATTTAAAGAGAACAATTTGATAAATATTAACATGTTTTGTGAAAACATTACCATAAAATCAATAAGGAACATATTTAATCATCCCTAAAAGTTCCCTTGTACCCAATTGTCCTTTCTGCCCTCCCTCCAATCTCATCCCCAGGCAAACACTGATCTGTATTCTATCACTACAGATTCATTTTCATTTTATAGAATTTTATATAAATGGAATGATGCAGTACCTACTCTTTTGTGTGGCATCTTTCACTTGGAATAGTTATTTTGAGATTCATCCAGATTGTTATGCATATCGCATTGTAGTACATTCATTACTTTTTATGGCTGGGTAGTATTCCAGTGTATGGAGGTACCAGTTTATCACTTCACTTGTTGATGGACTTTTGTGTTGTTTCCTTTTTTAGTTAATAAACTAATATATCTGCTGTGAATATCAATGTACAAGTCTTTGTATAGACATATGCATTCATTTCTCCTGGGTAAATACCTAGGAGTGGAATGGCTGGATCATATGGTAGGTGTATGTTTAACTTTTTAAGAGACTGCCAAATTGTTTTTCAAAGTGGGTGCATCATTTTTCTTTCATAGTAGCAGCGTATGAGAGTTGTAGTTCCTTGCAAAAAACTTATTATAATGATTCTTTTTAGTGCTAGCTATTCTAATAAGTTGTAGTGTTATCTCATCATGGCTTTGATTTGCATTTCCCTAATGACTAATGATTTTGAGAATCTTTTCATGTGCTTGTATGCCATGCTGCTTTGATATATCTTCTTTGGTGGTGTCTGTTCAAATCGTTTACCTGTTGTTGTTGTTTTTTTTTTTTAATATTTTTGTTCATCTTCTTGTTATTGAGATTTGAAGTTTCTTTATTTTGTATGCAAGTCTTTTAACATTAGATATGATTTTTGCATATTTTCTACCAGTCTGTAGTTTCTTTTTCATTCTGTCAATAGTGTCTTTTATAGAAGAGTTGTTTCTTTTCAATTTTTATAAAGTTCAACTTTTATCTTTTTTGTGGATCACGCTTTTGGTGTTGTATCTAAAAAATCTTGGCTTAACCCAGGGTCACAAAGGTTTTTGCCAGAGCTCTGGAAATTTTATAGTTTCAGATTTTACATTTAGGTGTATGATGCATTTTGAGTTAATTTTTGTATACGGTATTAGATACGGATCTTAGTTCACATGGATGACCAGTTGTTCCAGCACCATTATTGAAAAAAGCTATCCTTTCTTCACTGAATTGCCTTTATTTTTTTTAAATTGACAAATAATAATTGTGTATATTTATGGGATACAATGTGATGTTTTGGTCTATATATACATTATAGAAAAGATTTAATAAAGATAAGTAACATATCTATCACTTTATCAACTTACCTTTTTTGTGGTGAGAATTTAAAAAATATATTTTAGCAATTTTGAAATATACACTGTTAACTGTGGTCACCATGCAGAGCAATAGGTCACTAAAACTTATTCTGCAGTCTAACTGAAACTTTGGACACTTTGATCAACATCTTCACTTTCCTCATGCTTCCTCCTCCTTCCCCTGCNTTCTGTTTCTATGAGATTCCCTATTTTAGATTCCACATATAAGTGAGTTCATACACTATTGTCTATGTCTATTTAATTTCACTTAGCAAAATGTCCTCCAGTTTCTTTCATGTTGTCATGGATGGAAATGACAGAATTTCTTTCTTTAAGGTTGTATAGTATCCCATTGTGTATATATACTACATTTTAAAAATCCATCCATTCATTGATGGATCCTTAGATTGCTTCCACGTTTTGACTACTATGAATAATGCTGAAATAAACACTGGAGTGCAGATACCTCTTTAACATACTGATTTCAATTCCTTTGAATATATACCCTGAGATGGGAAAAGGATCTGAACAGACATTTCTCAAAAGAAGAGATACCAATTGCCAACAAATATATTTTAAAATGTTAAAAATCTCTAATCATCAGGGAAATGCAAACGGGAAATATCATCTCACAGCTGTTAGAATGGCTACTATCAAAAGGATGAATCAAAACAGGTATTGATGTGGATGTGGAGAATGTTGGTGGCAATGTAAATTGGTGTACTCACTATGGAAAGAAGTATGGAGGTTCCTCAAAAAGCTGAATTGCCTTTGAATATTTGTTGAAAATCACTTGCCCATATATGTTGTGGGTCTGTTTATGAACTCTATTCTGTTTCATTTATCAGTACTACACTGTTTTGAATATTGTTACCTTACAGTAAAAATTGAAATCAGGTAGTAGTTTCCCCTTAATGTTCTTTTTAAAAGTTGTTTTGGCTATTTTAGTTTTTTTCCCATTTCCATATGACTTTTAGAATCAGCTTGTCAGTTTCTACAGAAAAAGCCAGCTAGGACTTTGATCAGGGTTTTGCTGTAACTATAGATCAATCAGGAATGAGTTGACATCTTAATGATATCAATTTTTCTGCCCTGTGAATACAGTATATCTCTACATTTATTTAAGCCTAAAGTTTTCAGGACAGATCTTGCACATGTTTAGTCAGATTTATCTCTAGCTTCTAAACCAAGACACTTCTTTGTATGCTACCCAACGCCCTGTAAGAGTTTTTTTTGTTTTTTGAATAGATAGTGGTTCCATTCTATAATTGATGAGATGAGTGTTTTGAAGAAACACAAATTTACCAGAGAGACAAAATGTATCTTAATAGTTTTCAATTTGTTATTTAATCAGAGTTAATGCAATTGAAATCTTTTAGTTTCACATTAGGCACACAGAAAGCTTGCAAATGCTTTTAGACTGATTAGGGATCAGCTACCAGTTCTGTGCTCTTTGGGGTGTGTGTGTGTGTGTGTGTGTGTTATGTGTTTGCCCACATCTGCCTGTACAGTCTCTTAGTTAATTGTTATAATCATATAATTAATTGCTGCTGTCAAATCTTTGGGGTATGGTAAGCATAATTCTAAGATGGCCTTAAGATTCTTGTCTTCTTTTATACATTCTCCACTTAGGTGTGGTTGGGACCTGTGAATATGCTGGGCTATCACTCTGTGATTAGGTTACATTATGTGGCAAAGGTGAAGAGATTTTGCAGATGTAATTAAGGCACACAGTTAATTTTTGAGTTAATCAAAAGGGTGATAATCTTGGGTGGGCCTGACTTAATCTGGTAAAAGACCTTGAAAGAGGCACTGAACCCCTCCTGAGGAGAAAGAAGTTTTCCTGTTGGCCTTGGCTAAGCAGAACAACCATGTTGCCAGCTGCTAATGGAGAGAGGCTGCCTCTAGAGCCTGTAGGTGCTACGGGTCTTAATTCTGTAACTGCAAGGAACTGAATTTGGCCAACAACTTGAATGAGTTTCGAAGAAGATTCTGAACTCCACATGAGAACACAGCCCAGGCAAAAGCTTGATTGCGGTCCTGTGAGACCCTGAGCAGTGCACCCAGCTAAACCATACCTGGACTCCTGACACATGGAAACAGATAATAAATGTGTATGCTTTTAAGCAATGAACAATTACTAAGTCGGCAGATAATCTAGCTGGCATTTAAAATGCTTCCCATTGTATTTGTTTGCTGGACCTGCCATAACCAAGTATAACACCATAGACTGGGCAACTTAAATAACAGAAATTAATTTTCTTGTAATTCTAGAAGATCAAGGTGTCGGTAGGTTTGGTTTCTTCTGAAGCCCCTCCTTGGCTTGCAGGTGGCTGCCTTCTCACTGCATCCTCATGTGGTCTTTACTCTGTATGCATATATGTCTAAGTCTTAAACTCTTCATAAAGGACACCAGTCATATTAGATTAGGGCCCATCTTAGAGACATCACTTTAACTGAATTACCTCTTTAAATACCTTTTCTCCAAGTACAACTTC